TATTCAGACAAGGCAGCAATTAACAGACACATAGAGATTAACAGCATCTACATACTATTCAGAAGAGACAAAAGACCAGAAGATTGCCTCACCAGCAATCATCTCCAACAATCATCACCCAGATAAGCAAAGGTCACCACCAGGCACATAATCAAGCAGCAAACATATGCCAATCAAAGAACTACCAGAGGAGCAAAACAAAACCAGCACCAGGAAAGAATGCCACAGTATATAAATAGAGAGCAAACCCCAGCCCATTTTAACACTGAAGATGTTACCTAGCTGGGTAATGAAACATTTGCAAGAAAAGAACCAAACTCAGAGAACCCCAAGGACTCCACAGACCACATTTAGCCACAGGATCATTTTTGCTTCCTCTAATGAATGGAGGGGATTGACAGGAGGAGATTCAGGAAAGTGCACAAACTGTGTGTTGGTGGGTGTAGCCTGAAAAGGGAAACCATGGGGCTCCTTTAAAGAGGAAATTGTGCCTTGGTTTATATATCGCTTGGGATAAAAGAGCCGCCTCAGTGCACTGACTTACAGATTTCTTTGAACATCCATTTCATACCTGATATTCAAATGATGTTCCAGTCCTAAGAAAACTCAAGAATTTTATACAAATATTTCTTATTTTAACTCTGATCAAACAAATCAACTTTATATTCTTTTGTTTTCCGCCTTATTCTGACATTCTTCATTCTTTATTTAACAATAAGGTGTTGTTGAACAAATTGATCTCCAGCCAAACGTACTTTCTCCTGTCTCAAACATTTTTTTTCAAGACTTTTACTACCCTCTTTTGCAAGCCCTGGAATTGATCATTTCCCAGATCACATTTCATCTCTTGGATTTATATTTGTATTTCCTCTCCCTTTGCTGTCTCTCTCTTATAGTCCACAACTTCTGCTTTATTTTCCTGTATTTCTGCATAAGCTTTAGTTTGTTTTACTTCTTCATCCTGTCATCCTGCAGATCCTTCAACATTATTCTCCTTCACACCTTTCATTTCTTCCTTTTGATCTCTTTTGAATAATAGAGAGAATCGAATGTTTAATATTGTAGAAGGAAGGAAAAAGCAGCAAATTTGTGGAAGAATATTGAACTAATGAGAGTTGGTGATACTGAGAGAATGAAATAGGATTGAATTTCAAAATAATAAAAGAGGGAAGAAATGTGGGTAATGAATCCATATTGCTCCCTCTAATGATATTTTTACATTTTTTTTCCCCAGTTCATTCTACTGCCCTTAGTTTTCCTTGTTATCCCCACATGCAAGGGCTAACCAGGTTCCCCGCTGCTTATTCCAAGAACAGCTCTGTGCTTCTACTTGCTATGGGAGAGACTTCTCAGCTCCTTCTGAATTCCAGCTCAGAAATTCAACCTTCTGTGACAGAATCCACTTGGGGAGCTGTTCTGAGGAAGTGAAGGTTTCTGCTTGGCTTCAGATTCACTTCCTCTCACTGTGGATCTACCACAGTAATAGACTCCTGTGTCCTCTGGCTTCAGGTTGCTCATTTGCAAATAGAGTTGGCTTCTGGAATTGCCTCGGGAGATGGTGAACCGTCCTTTCACTTTATCTGAATAGCTAATACTAGTTGAATCATGATTTATCTCTCCAACCCATTCCAGTCCTTTCCCTGGATACTGTCTCACCCACGCCATCCAACTGCTGCTGAAGTCAAATCCAGAGGCTTGGCAGGAGAGACGGAGGGAGTCTCCAGGTCTTCTAATATCCCCTCCAGATGGCACCAGCTGGACATCTGACTGAACACCTAAACAGAAAGGAGTTTCAGTGTACTCTCCTCCATAGAAGAATTAAAATGGAAAGAGGCAGTATATTAAGGTAACAATTACCTCTGAGAGCAGCTAGTAAGGACATCAGGTTTAGCCACAGGATCATTTTTGCTCCCTCTAATGAATGGAGGGAATTGAAAAGACAGGATTTGGGAAAATGCACAAACTTTGTGTTGGTGGGTGTAGCCTGACAAGGA